GCGCGGCAGGTGCGGAGCCGTTGGCCCCGTGAGCCTGCGGCACCCGCCGCCGACGGGCACTCGGGCGCATCCCCGCCCTTCGAAGCCTGCTTTTAGGAACTAGTGAGCACCCCTTCTTGGTACGGTAGGCTGGTGTAAGCGGTACAGCTTAACCTCCCTCTTACTGTCTGTTTGTAAGTTACTTGAGGGGTAGTGCAATATGTGGGACTCGTGTAGCAAGTGTGTTTTGGTTTTACTTTGCTGAAATCTCTCAAAATTTGAGAAAAGCACTATGTCTTGTAATGATCTCTAGTACTTAATAGGGTCTCATTCTCATTTCTTCTGCCTTTGCTCCATCTCCTTACCTTGCTTTCTCACTTGATTCTTCCATTTTTTTTCCTAACACTTCTTCCAGCTAAACAGCTGAATCTTTCATCCACATCCTTCTGTCGTGCTAGAGCTTTCATTACTTTTTTTCTTTGGTCTTTAAGAAACATTCCATTACAAAACAGGTAGTTGCTCCATTAATTATGGCATATGAAGGAAAGCAGGTCTCTGGACTTGTTACGTACCTCCAGTAACCGCTGCGTCTTGTCTTCGTCTCTCCCAGATTCAGTGCCCCGGTGCTGTCCCTCACATGCCCCACCTCCGTCTCCTTCCCTTGCCTCCATGGAGTGTTCTCTGTCGTCTGCTACCAGCCTGGTAGGAGCCTGTACCTGCTGTGGTTATTTTCGCCACCAGCAGTCCGTGCAGAACAGATCATGAGCTCATACTACTGTCTTACCCTGAACAAAAGCATTGCTTTGGGGCTGTGTAGCCTTTGATACTCATACAGCAGGAAAATATTTTAGATCTCTATTTATTTGCTAAATTTAGATGAAACTTGCAAATGGGTTTAATTTTGGGAGGGAGAGATGATATGGTTGCATAGCCTTGCATCCTAAGGGACTAGGATAAATATGGTATTTAAAATAAGATAGCTCTTGCTTTTTACTTGCTTCTTCCTGAGTACTTCAGCTCTTAAGAAATTCCTATTGAAACACTCTTGCATGGTTTCTAAAGCTCTTTCAGTGTTCGAATTTCGTGTGACATCAACCTTAGTACTTACCAGCCTATGTTCTTACTCTCACTTACATGTTGGTTAGTGTTTTTGAGCTGGCCCCATATATTCATTCGTACAGTGGCTTTGGAAAAGCACCTTCTCATATAGCTCATCTGTAAGACTGCTGTTCTGTCTATACTTAAGTTTCCTGTGAGGAAGTGTATAGAGGATCAGACCGTCTTCAGTGTACAAGCAAAAATGAAATAGGCTGTTTGTTCACCTTTTCCTTAACTGCTTGGGTACAGGTAAGACTGGGAGAGCAAATCAGTTAGTGAGCATTAAACATCCCTACAAATGCTCTTGATTGAGTGTAGAGGTAGCTGTGATTTGACCCTTCTGACAAGAATGAACATCTTGAAGATTTGGTAACCTATGGTAACCGATAATGAAAATGTATCCATGAGTGGACATTACCTAACTGTGGTAATTATAGAAACATTTTAGAGTTTGTCCTCATGGAGCAACTTAGAGGCATAATAAGATAATTCTTCCTCTTAGGTGGTGTTATTCTAGATCAGCTGCCTTTTTTTCTGATCCAGCTTTCCCCTCAGAATGCCTCCACATGAGAAGTTACAGCAATAAAATTAACGATGTCTACAGGAAGACAAAGGCTAACTTGCCTAAGTATGTGTTTTGCAATATTAATTTAGAGTCTTGCTGTGTAGGAGGGAATACTAAGTTTTGTGCTAAAACAAACTGTAAATATTTCCCAAAATAAGATGCTCAAAATAAGGCAAGAAATGTGAGAATTAAGACAGTAAGGAGAATTCCTATTTCTTAAGTTTTTACAGGTCAACTAAAAAAAATTTCCATATTTACACTCTGCTGTGACTCTTGTCTCAGATTTTTTCCTTGAACTCTGTGAGCTAATGACAGTCTCAGCAAATATGTTGGGTAAAGATTCAGACGCGTCTTCTAAAGAAGCTAATCTGTGTAGCACAGCATCAAAGCACTTGCCTGTATATCATCATTTTTTAAATGATATTATTTACTACACTAGCTATTTTACTAATAACTGAAGCATCTTTCTTTACGTTCTTCTGACTTCTCCTTTTGCTATCACAAAAGAAAGTGTAAGGAGGTTTTCTCTGGAAATGTGCTGTGTAATAAATTTGGAATGGAATCCAGAAGACACTGCAAATCCTTAACTTAGTGACCTGTGTTCACAATTTTGCACTTCTCTTTTGTCCAGAAAGCAAAGTTGTCAAGTTGTCAATCTTCAAGGAAAGGCAGTGGTATTCTGGGGAAATCTATTTCCCTTGTCCTTCCAAGTACTTTGAAAATAGCATGTGTGTATGTTTTTTCACATAACTTTGTAATACTATTGCTCCTCCTGTTCCCTAGGTAGCATACTTGTTAGACATGAATATCTTGCTTTGGTTGCCTTTATTTTTGGAAAAAACGGGCCTAAAAAAACTTAGCATGGGGAGTAGTCCTGTGTGAAGTTGTTGGAAAAGGCTCTGGTAGTGAATCAATCTCTCACCCTCTCTATTACCAACTGAGATCGCTTCTTAGTGTGAATTTTGCAGAGCGTCCTTCTCCCTCTGTGTTGCGTTTTTTGGGAACGGGTTTGGAATGTAATGTTTTAATTCCTGAGGTTAGCTGCACTCTGTTCCCTGTGTCCTCTCTTCTCTTGTGACTTTAGAAGCTGGTCCCCAGGCTATTAGGGGACCCCAGCTATCCAAAACAAATGAGGCCAGACATTGCCATTAGATGTACAATGAGTCCCTGCTGCTGTTGCCCAGAGTGATGGTAAGTGTATGATGATGATCATGAATTGAAGCAGTCATGCATCTGGTGTGGGAGCTTAAAGTCATACGGAGTGATGATATAGAGAATAAAATGGGAATTGAGGCCTATGTGAAAGATTGTGGCTGGGGTAGCAGCAGAAAGTAAACTAGTAGTGAAAGCATGTAGGAAGAGTTTGGCTCATCTGAAGTAGTACGTTGTTATATGCTAGCCAAGAAGGTGGAGGTTGGTGGTGGGGATGGTGTTATGGGGCAGTGGCTCAAGCTGAAGTGACTCCAGAGCTCGTCCGCAGTGTTGCTGCGTAAGGGAGCCTGTGCCAGCAGCGAAGCACGTTGCTGTTGTGGTCCATCGTGGATCTTTAGGCATCCAGGCACTGGCTATCTTGAATATAGAAATTAAGTTTACAGGGCAATGCTAACGATTTAGATTTGGGAAGCCTTACAGGTTGTGGGCAGAACAGAATGTGCAAGTTTTCAGAAGATAACTCATGTGCCCGCTTGGGAGCGCTGTGCTAGATTTTACTATAGGATAAATAATGATCGTTGTGAGCTTAAGCAGATGTGCCTGATGATTTTAAAACAAGAAAGCAGACCTGAATTCAGCTACCAGTCTGTGCTTGTCTGTGTTAAGATAGAAAACACAGTAAGTCACTTACAGCAAAAATAATGCTGCATATGTGACCATGGGCTTCTAATGAGACAGAATTTTTACTCCACATTTCAGAGAAGGCTGAATAGAAATCATTGGCTCCTGTAGGGTACTCTGAGAAGCAGAATATCTCAGTATAGAAGCTGGCTATCTGACACCTCTAATAGGAAATAGAGACTCAGAGCAGCAGAGGCCCTGAGCAGCTGTATCCTAAATACTTCTGTGGCTTTTTTGACATACTAGGTGAGTTGTACTATACAAACACTATGAAGGGCTGTAAAATCAAGGCTGCAAGTTCAGAATTCATGAATTCTTTCTCTGTATAAGTAGCGACAGGAGAGGTGAAGGAACAGACCTGATGACCGAAAAATGGAACAGAT